TATGTTGAATATCATCACAATTAGTTAAACCTACATTTTCGTTTAAATTGTTATATTAATAATTTGTTTACATTACTTAGATCCACATTTGTCCGTTTATAATGTTCCTTTGCTGTTCTACTAAACAATTTTTTTAATAAGACAAAAAAAATATTATTACTCCCTCTTTTCAATTAAAATCGGCTAAACAGCAGAAATAATCATGACAAAAATTTACATATCATATCTTATCGCGACATATCTTCCATGGGACTACATGAATAAATTTGTTATCAATATATACATATATGACCGATATGAACAGACTTGTATTATATAAGTCATGAAACGCAAAGGTCGAGGTCAAAGTTCATAAAAAGAAACAACCTTCAAGAATGCAATGGTATCATAATGTTGTTAATGAGTTAAGCAAAGTTCGACTGGCCCCTTGCCCTGACACTTCTTGCGCAAATTTCGTTTTGCCCAAATTAACATCAATTTTACGTTGTAAATATAAATATTGTTCACCTTGAATAGTAGACATTCACCCATTTAAGGTACAACTAGTTCAATGTAGTTTCTAGTACTCGGTTCCATCTGGTTCTATAGTGTTCGTTAATTGAAAAAACGATTCTGTAATATGAGTAATATTTAACGAACTTAAAAAGTATATTATAAAAATGAATAAAGCATATTTTTATTCATGTTGTACAATGCACACTCTTTTATTCGCAACTAACATGTTCAAGATTAAAAGAGGATGAGGTGGAATAAGAATTGTCTAAAATAAGTAAGAGAAGAATATGGAAATAACATTACATCGGTACAAGAGAGAAGAAACGGAAAAAATAGTTACTTATCAAGGCGCTTGATAATAAAAAAAAAAGTAATGTATAGTCTCGGATACATATTTAGATCTAGAATTGCAATTCAAGAATTAATTCTTTTAATTTAATTAAGTATAATGCACAAGGTCTTTAGTTACTAAATAAGTATACTAAGGTATATCCTTATGAAAAGACACTTAATAGTACAACGCTAAAGATTTGCTATGATGATGATGATGATAATTGATTTATAAATAATGGATTACAATGTCATTTTAATGTCAATGTAAGTTAATAATTAATTTATTCATATACCAATAAGGCATTTATTTGCGATTTATATACTTTAGTATTTAGCACCGTATTTAGTATAGTAGCAATAATTTTCAACAGAGAACTATATAAAATAAAGATACCCGCGTCTGTTTATTTTTCTTTTTCAAAGTCACGAAGGGAATATTAATGTTTTACTGTTATTTAGGACCTGTTTTTACAATACTCTATATGTATATATATGCAAAATATTCTAATATAATATATATAATAATAGTCGGTACACGATCTATATTGTTTTAACCGAACAATATTACTCATTAACCATTATTGTTAAAAGTATTAAACTAATATATATATAATAAATACTAAATCGTGTCTTCCTATATACAATTAGTTAAGTATTTTATTCATTATACATCTATGTATATGAAGTGAGGTCAATAAATGTTTTTATTTCTTTGTTAATATGGTCATCATGCTGACATATTGGTCAGTCCAGTTGGATGGTCTGCCGTCGATATACATACTCTGAGTCATTTATAAAAATATTACCAATTTGGTATTTACTTTAACATATTTTTAATTCGATGATAATACGAACATAAAATCGGCCACCTACTGTTTGGTTTATAGTTTTGCAAATTTAATTAGCATAGTATAAAAAAAAAAATACTTGGAAGGTTACTTCATTTTTATAGGTAACAAAACAGTGGCATTTGGCTATATAAAGGATTATTATAAATACACAAATCTCTTATTATTGTAAGATTTACACTTATATTTATTATTCAATAATTTGACGTTTTTATAGTGTCGTATATCCGTGTTTTCTATGGCTAATTGCGAATTTAGTTTCGCAAGATTATAAGTAATTAATTTTTATTACAGATTAACACCCATTCCAATGAGCAAATTATTTTAATAATAAATTGTATCATGACGATATATTAATAGAATAATATAGGTATGAAATATAGGTACTTGTAATATTATTAAACGTAGAGTTATATTTTAGCAAGATAGACGTTGTTATAATGATTATGTGAGTAAAATCAATTTCAACCATTAATTCATCTCACACTTTTGGTCACTTATATAGGAAAAAGGAAAGATCACTAAGCATCTTACATACTTAGTATTCTATGTTTTGGTGTTTGGGCTTGAAGCATGTGATATGGTAGTAATCAATGAATAAATATCAGGGTATGGAGGAATGACACTTTAGTCCTCCGGAAAAAATGTGATGAAATAAAAATTTAACCTTTTGGAATCTTTTAGGTATTCCTATCATATATCGTTTCGGTATGCTATATAACTTAATATCGAATTACGATTTTAGGAGACTTTTATGTAGGTGAAATGCTAGAAGGACTTGATTTTATTAGATTAATATTTACGAGATATTATATAAGTAGTTTTAATATATTATATTTTAAATTTAATTTCGTCATAATTTTGAGTACTCTGAAAATTTTGGTTTAAAATAACCACGCTTAACAATATAAATACACTCACGAATTTATATATTTTTAGGGTGGTTATTTTTACATTTTCAACCGACATTATAAATTAGAGAAATTTCTCAATTTAATTTATCTATAATTCTCAATTTAAAATATAAATATAATTATTATATATATATTAATTTATTTACTCAAGTTATCTTATAACTTTCTACGATGTATAAAGTTTAAATTTTGTTTATTTGGTAGCTGCTGCTAATGTTAATTTGATCAAGACCTGACAAGTAGGTAGTTATTTAGTTATCTTTAAAAATACAAAATGCTAAATACGGTATCAATTAATGTTATTTGTTGAGAACATAATTTATCTTTACTTATCAGTTTTCAAACTATTACTTTTGTACCTAAATATAAATATGTGGACGTGTTTGTAAGTGAATATGTGTACTCACTCCGTAGTAAATTTAAATTAGAGGAGCCTTCATTACAATGGCAATATTATGCGAGTTGTAGACCGCTACGCGCATGCGTCTAATCGTTCAGCAAACAGCCGCCACGGTTACAATCTACAGTGTGGTCTATACGCCACAACGCCACAAGTGAGCAAAGTATAATGGACTTACAGAAAATGGAATGGACATCACTACGCGATTACGACCGGCGACCTGATAGTTTATATTTACACTAATGATAATAAAGTAATAAGTTGTTTCGATCATCTTGATCAATGTAATTTAAACTTTTAAAATGTTTTTTAGTCGTAATAATTGCTTTAGTCCATATTTGTACTTACGAAGAAGTAAGAATATTTATTAATTTAATATCATATATTCTTTTTAATTTCTATATTTCAGTTTTTATCTGTCACTTGCGACTCGCTCTAGCTTTGCCTTAGATAATTAAATTCATTTATACAAACTTTTACCCTATTATAAACTTAAACCTTCCTCAGGAATGACTCTGTTGATGGCTGTGAGTCGCCACTTATGAACTCGCACATTAACTGTTGATTTCTCGAGCAATGTGGTCAACCTTTTGCTGTAGCTACCCGTAATATAACTATTTAGTTAGGTAAAATGTTATTTTACTCATTTAGACAATCTAGGTTGATGGATTTACTGGATCATGATTCACTAATATTGTTTCTAGTCTCAAGAGGTGATGAATCATTTGTCCATTGTTGCTATTTGTCATACTATTGTGTAAAAACACAAACTTTATTATCAGTCTGTCAATAATAACAACAATAACAGTTATATAAATCTTACAAAATACTTCATACAAAATATTCCACTATATCATTCTATATTACCTCAATTTGCTTTACATTATCATTTATACCCTGAACAGTATTCAAAATATATGCAGTTGTTATATTTAAACACGTGCTTCGATTATCGTAGCCACCTGTATCACTTCCAGTTAAACAATACATGTGCATTAAACACGAAACTAAACGTACCTGGGGATCCGCACACAGGACCTTCACCTTTATTTATGTACACTCAGACAGAAATCACCCTTTGCGTCGCCCGCTCGACGTATGGGAACCAAGAAAGCATTCAAAATGATTTATTGTAAATGGTTTTCTACTTTGTTGGCTAAAATAATAACCCCTGCGCCCGGGTTGCTGTTCTAAATTCGATATTTTATTGTTCCTGCTTTCCTTTTGCAAAGCCGATATATTCCGTCAAAAAAATATAATCCTTCCGTGGTCATTAGAGGGTATAATTGAATGAGTAATCGATATGGTAATGAGGAGACAAAAAAAGACATGTAATCAGAGTAAGATGAAATTTTAGTCGTAAAAGTGGAAGCTTGAGATTGTGAAGTTGAATGAGACATTGACAATGCAAATAGAAACGTTAAAAGCACAGTAGGACTTGCGGAGTTGCGGGTGGCTTTGTCCACTTATACAATAGCAGCCTTTAAAACCATTGACGCTTTAACTCCTAAGGTGTCATGAGAATTAGTGGGCCATTATTGCTCTATAGAAAACGCTTTGGTCAAGCAGAAAGTAGATAACAATAATTAGCTCGGACGCAACAAAAAGTGACATAAATCCCGCATAATAAGTTTCTCGGACTGCAAAAAATCAACAGTTTACCTGAATTCCAGGTTTTTTTGCAGAGTGCTTCGAAATGAACGTCGGGCGATATAATAAACACCTCAATTCCTGGCATGGGCATTGTTTAATGATTTTTCTGTTGTGATATTGCACAATCCACCTTCGGTTTGTTTTTTCATGTTCACCTAGCGAGAAAAATAAAAGTTTTTGTATGTTTGGTAGCATTTAAACAAAAGGGATTTGGGGCTTTGGTGTGAAGGTGTGATTTATTTATGACTAAGAGTCCTTGTTTGACCGATTCTGTTTAGGTAGTTTCTAATGTATTTTTGTTAACTGATTGCATATTATGTGCTCACGATTAATATACGTTCCTTTACTTTGTTTCAGAAACAATATGGAAAAAATCGGCATGCGACATGTCCATAAATATCAGTCATATTGATTTTTGATAACACTACAATTTCTCAAATCGCTATAAAAACAAAGATGCTGGGGTATGCTCTAAGAAGAGTTACCTCAGTCATCTCTTTTGCTCCTAAAGACATCAACTACAGCTCGGCTGACGACAGCCGGTGCTTAGATAAGTAGATCAATAAAATAGCAAAACTTTTCGATCAAATATAAAATTCATAGGAACACAATCTATAAGAAGTAATATTTGAATAATTTGAAACCAACCTAGTCAAGATCAATAGCAATAGTAAGTTACCAATAGCAGAAATAAAGAACAGAGATCCAGTGCCGCCTTACTGAATACGCCACTGAGGTGGTATGGTATATATTGCATCTTGGATCGACTGTGCGCTGACTGGTCGCTACGTCACGTGGCTTCCCGGCGCGCGACTGCAGTGCTGGATGCTACTAACTGTATACACGTAAGTACTATATTATTTTTAATAATAATAGTAGTAACCTATACTATCGAAGAATTAAGGGAATATAAAACGAATAAATAAATAATAATAACCCTATACAATGCACACAGCGCCATCTGGACCCAAACTGAGCAGAGCTTGTGTTATGGGTCCTAGACAACTGATATAAACATTGAGATACATTGTTTTTTGTAAACAAATTTATAACATAAATGTAAAATATAACATACGATACAAACAATCTTACTCATGAACATAATTTTTGCATAATTCGAGGATCGAACCTGCGACTATCGGAAGTAAAGTGTGCTAAACCGCTAGATACCCGTGGTTGTAAAAGTTTTCAATGATATTTTCAATTTTATCTATTTTTTTCTGTAAATAAATCGTAAACAATATGATGGCTCATTCTTCACACTGGAACACAGCTAAACTATTCAGTTATAATTTTAATGTCAACTGGTTGGAGAAGACGACGACAAATCATTCGTATGCAAAAAAAGATAGATGATTGGTTGCATCGTATTACGACTTTAATTTCTCAATTTGAATAAGCAATGAATTGAATGTGAGCTATTTCTTTTACAAATCGTAATAAATACCAAATAGCTGTAACTTCGTTTGCAACACGACATTACCTATTAGATTACAATGTAATTGGTGAAATATCTGCAATGTTAACTACCTTTGCAGACTAATATTAGTTCGATATGGTTGGGTAAACAGTCGCTTTTTACATATCTCAACCGTGAAATAACAATGCATGGGATATTATTTAGCGGTTAGTAATCTGGAAAATAACTAGCATAAAAATATGCCTAATAGATATTTAGATCTGATCTAGAAATTACAATGACATCATAATAAAGTAATTTTTATTTCATGTTCGATATTCATTTATGTCAATTTGATAATCAACCTTTACACAGCATGTGATAGTTTTAACAGCGTTTAGTTATAGAAGTTTAGTTTGAAGATTAGGATTTTTTTAACATAATAAGCGCCAGACAATCACACTGAGAAATTATTGTATGATTGTCTTATTATGTTAACAAAATTAACACATTTAAACATATAAACAATAAGACTATTTATCTGTATGTCATGAAGAATTTAGCTAATCTAGATACAACATTCTAGAAAGTTTCAATAATAGGAAAATCGTTTGTCTAACAACTACCTACTCTAAATGTTGTAATGCTGGAAAGTCATTGAAGACTTAATGAATCGATAAAATTTGAAAGTTTTTATACAACATAAAATATAAGAGTGCCATTAAATGAATCTTCAATTATTTCAAATTATCGTTTATATTGAATTTTAATTTATTAGTCTATTTCATATAACGTTATTAGAATTTATAATTCACCCTATTATAGAAAATATGTATTTTTAAGTGGTATAATTTATGGAAGACCAATGAATATAAATGTGTTATATTGATTGCTTACTCTGATTTTACTGGGTATACCTTTATTACCACTGATTTTATTTAATATTTTTTATCATCATCACGTAATAAGAATAGTTTATTTAAAGCAAATACTTTATTATTTGGAATAAAAATATTTCTAAGTTAAATATGTCCATTGTTGGGAGGTTTTTCTTTGGTTACAGTCAATACGACTGATTTGTAGGATGGTCCTTATACAGTACTTTAGTGAGTCCTAAGACCTTTTCTGCTTCATGCTCATCAATGTAAAAGGCATAAAACATGTCTATAGGCACGTTCCGTTAAATTCTTCGGACACTGTAAGTCCGGGAGTGGCTAGTTACTATTCGATTTACGACGTAGTTTTCATTACCCGCTTCTATGTATTTTGCTTTTGTTCGCAAAAAGTGCACAGTTAACTAAGTTCTATGGTTATGATTATCTCTCGTGTAAAATATGTTTACTGCCACACTTCGATGAATGATAATGTTTGCTTTAATAGTGACAAAAAGATAATGAATTATTATTGCTCTGCAATTACTAGTACTTAAGTGGTTATGCTATATATCTCCCGTTTCTATTTATCTATAATGCGACGAATTGCGAGAAATACATTGAGTAATTACCCGATTTTACGAAGTTTATGTAATGTATTTACATTACATAAATTTAACAACTGTTAAGGTACAAAGTTAATCCGGGAGACGGCTACCAATAATAGAAATTAACAGTGTGTAAATGTGAAAATATTGAAAATGTAAAACAGTATTAAAGAGATCAAACAGAGTAAGTTTAAACTCGAGCCAGTAAATAATGATGATGATATGGACAGACGGACATACAGGCATAAATTTCTTCGGCAGATTAGAGTAAGTGCTTCTAGATAATACTAGATAACAAGTTCGTTGACTTACAAGTGGACTTAATTTGACGGATAAACACAAATAATCTTACTTCTAAATGCATTTAATTCGTAATGACTAAATAATTATATATTAATTTTATAATTTTGCGTACCACAAAAAAGTTGACAAGGCAACTTTCAATAGTAAAAGTCGTTCGTAAATACGGTTAAGCTTCACATAATTTTAATTTTAAAACCAAAATACTAACTAAATCTTTTTTCATGAAATTACTATATTACTAATTTGACAGTAGTAGTAGTACAGAAGTATAGTTATTAGGTATGGGAATAAAAAATATACAACTTAATTGAGATTCACCAACGTTTTTAAGATGGTTGAAATATAAAATAACGTTAATTAAAAAAGATACTATTATGAAGTGGATTTTGAATATTTGACAACACTACGAATATTTGCGTTATCCCCACAGTTTGTTAAAAAAGTAACGACAGCATGTTAAATTGCTCGGAATTTTATAATATTTGATGTTAAACATATAATTGTTATTGCGAATTATTTGGTATTCATATTACCGTGGTCTGGTAAAATTATATATTTTTAATAGTAGGTACTATTATAATTACAGATACTAGTAATATATTAAAATTCTTTAAGTAATATTATATTGTTTAAATAATAAAATATTGCTCGTTATTGTTATTCTAGTTTTTGTACAATTCATATTTTTTTCTATTTTTTCTGATATATGCAGTCATTAAAAATACCTATATAATTCAATATTACTTAAAACAAGAGATTGAGTGAAGTGACTTAAATTATTATTTTATATATTATATGGTTAGAAGACATTTCTAGGTGTTACATATATCTATGTAGTTTTAGTGAGCTTTATTGTAATATTACATATATTTCCATATTCAATTATATTTTGAACATATAAACAAGTATATACTGAAATTGAATTTAGCGGCTTAAGACAAGATTACTGAGAATTACTTGAAATTATTACAAGTAGAAACAATTTTTTTGCAAATGAATTGGCTATCAGTAGATTTTATGAATATAGTATGTGTTAAATGTATTGTAACGTGATGATTATGTGAGTACTAGTTAAGTATATATATATACTAGTTAAATAAAATATTTAAGTATAATAAACAAAAGTGCTCCACAATAGCACATATTTAGTATGCAACCTAGTTTAGATATAAAAATTATCAAAATCCATTTAAGTTACGTAAAAATATCCAGTAACTTTTTATCGAATTTAAGATAACATTTCGCCAAGTCAATGTATTTCTTTTTATGAATACAATTATTGAGTCCACGTGTGGTAAAGGTTAGTAGATGTCTAGTAGTAATAATACTGACTAAATCTGCCCTTGACCGATCAGTTCCGCCCACTAAAAGTATTCAACTTGTACCAAATAGGGAGACAATAGGCTAATTAATAACAAGACTAGTCTGGGACGATGCATAACTAATTATACTATTGGCCACAACGGTAGCAAAGTTATACAGCATAACTTTTATCATGTTAATAACTAATAGTCAGAGGTTTCATCTCCTAAATTATTTACCTGCAAAAAATGTAACCCATTTATGTCTGGGAACGGCCAGACGTGTTCACGTGTTAGAGTTTGTGGTTATGGGTGGTATCTCTGTGGAACTTCTCAGAGAGATACATATAAATGAAATTCATATAGTAACATTTTTAGACTTTGTAAGTTCCTTTGCATTATTCATCACTATTTTAAGTTATTCTACGTATGATAATTTAATTATGTAATGATATCAACTTACACAGTTAGTAGAAACTTAATAATAAATGTAATTTATCTAAATGTTGCTACGTATTAGATTGGAATATGAGATCTTGGTCTATAAGGTATTAGCATATACGTAGCTTTTTGTCTCTCGATGTATCTAATCAGTTTGGCGTTTGAATTGAATGTTTTGGAACAGCTGTCAGGCGAAGGGTTATCGAACGAGAATTAGGACCCTTTCAAAGCAGTTGTGGTGTTTCAGAAGTCGATTCTTGTTACGTTATTCTTGTACTTTTATAACGTTTTAACTTATATTTGCCCAAATTAATATAAAATTACTATTATTTAATTAATAGGCAGATCTTTATTTATATTTGTATACATAATATAATATTAATAATATATTTGAGAAGATATTTATTTACTTTATGCATATACCTCTGCATCTCTATCGGCTCATTTATTAATATTATAGAATAACGAGCTTACTTGATGCATTCTGGTTTGAAGCATGAGATATGGCAGTGAAATTACTGGGCACTGAAGGCGTAAAACTTTAATATGTGAATTCATAAGGATTGTCACATTGTCACCGTCATATTGTATTTAATATATATGAGGTCCATTGTATGTACTGTTCAGATGTGACGGTCACGTAAATAGGTGGCTACCACTTCCGTCAGGTGCAGTGTGCTTGCTTGCCATTCCAAATCATGTACAATACTAGTTGTTGCTCACAATTTCACGCACGCACTTTAATCCTCTATTTCACCTCATTACAGATTAGATTTTGGATAAATATTAGTATCTATACATCCTTGTGATATCATTATCATCAGCCCACTGCAGTCCATGTGATATATATCGTCTCAAATTTAATTAAGATACTTTCAGTCATCTCGTTGTAAAAAGGTAAAAACTAATATACACACATAC